ATTGAATGGTTGTTTAAATGGATCGCAGTTTTGATGCACTTATCACTAGAAATCTCAATCAATTGATTCAATGGTTTATTCTTTTTACGTCTTTTACGGGGTTTTATAACTCGAGGCAAACAGTGATCACTGGAAGCACTGGAAGCGCCGGACGAATCTTCTGATCCTATACTCAAACTATCACTAAAACTCTTGAACACGTGTTTGGATTCAAGCGATGTCTGACCAGAAGATTCTGAACTGCAGACTGAGATGTTGTCTGAATTGCAATTTGAATCATAGCTCTTATTAGTGATGGAAACGACTGAACATTTGTCTCCATTGGACACACTTTTCGTTTGTCTGCCATTCAGACTATTTAAACGTCGACTACTAGTAATGGTATGACTGAGAAAGAGATCATTTCCTTTGAAAAGACATTCGGGACTCGGTTTCGCCTTTTTGTCTCCAAAACCATCCAATATATAGAAATTGTTTTTATTATTCACTTTCTTATATAACTTTTCGTTATTATTCTTAAACGAAAAGAAATTCTTTTGGGAAGTATTGGGAAGAATTAGCGGAACTCCTTCTGCATGGAGTGCTAACTTCCAAAGTGGTAACAAATCCACCATTTCATTAGATTCTGCATTAGAATTGTCCTCCAATTCAATGCAATCACTTCTGGAGGAATTCAAATATGCATTCAATGGTTTAGTCGACTTTTGAAGTAAATTATGTTTTCTCATGACTTATTCTCAATCTGTTGGACACAATTCTCAAACTGCATAATAAATATCACAAATTTATCAATTCATTCAATTTCGGACCGCTTTTTGCAATAAAACTAAACTTTTTTTTATCACAAATATTAATGAAATAAATAAAATTTGAAGTTTTAATAATAAATATAACTTTGATATAACTCTATGAACATATGACTATTGGTATTGATGTGAGAGAGAGGTATAAGTGTTGGGAACAAAACAATGGGAAGAGTTAGAGTGATATGAGTGGCAATACTATCACTGCTATCACTGGCAGGCACTGATAGGCACATCGGCACAGGTAGGCACTGTTGGGAGAGACAACCAGCAAAACGAGTAACATATGCAACGAACCCGAAATGTTAACCATTTGAAAGAGTAGTTTAAGAGTTAAGGCCTTAAAGCCCACACTAAACACTCAACACTAAAACCTTGTATGGAGTGAACCTTTGATAAAGAGATGCATTGAAAGCAATGGATAACTTCCTTGTTGTGTGTCTGTGCTCTTTGTTGACTCGACTCCACCAACGAATAGTGATTATTAGTGAAGCCGACCCACAAGAGCAACAGGTTAGCCCTCATCTATTATGTCATACCACTGTTAGGCACTGTTAGGCCAACACATATACGTAACACACTTTCTAAATGGCTATCAAATGAATAGGCATTCAAACCAGTGATCAGATTAAGCGCATTACAGTTCGTGACCCAAACTAATCGCTAAACACAATATACATCACAATTCGGACCAAATCTCACTCAGGAAATGGTTTCATGTCTTTCCTATTCGTATTAACATATATAGAGCACTCGTTTCCGTCAATTGCCGTCCATTTCATTACAATATTTCAATAAATAAAAAATTGCATGCAATTAGAGATAGCGTACAGTTATGTTGCAGAGGCCAGTATCGCATCGCCCCTCACGGGGTCGGCACTTGATTTGCATGTGAGGGGCCGGTCGACCGCAATCGGGTCGCAAAACAAACTTTCATTTAATTAACCCCAAAACAGGATATGTATTGACGATAGACTCAATTGCATTCTTAAACGACAACTCTATAGTGCAAGTAATGTCTCAAACATTGATTTAATTAGTGATTACAGTTAAATGATCTTCATTTAAGGCTACACTCTATCACGAAATGCCACAAAATTGAGGTCCAATTAAGTGACCAAACAAAACGAGGCTGAGATGCGTTGGCTGCCTGTCTGTCCCGTATATGAGAATACTGTTCCGGTTTCAACGGTTGCCTTTCCCACTGTTTTTTGCCATTATATACAAATCGAGTTATTGTTCATATTTCTCACACTATTATATTATACCACTTATTGTATGCATTGATATGTTTTTTATGAAATTTTATTTTCATATTTAAAATGAATGATTCACTCGAATCTCAATACATGTGAATTAGTTTAACGTTAAGTGTGTATGTATTGAACGAATTAAAGATAATTTTGAGAAACAATTTTAAGGCAAAGAATTTGATGAGAATTTAAAATATAACGATTATAATAATAATGAATAAAAATATGAAACATAGGTATTATTGGTTTTCACTTTTAGTACAAAAGTGATGTCTAAAAAGTGCAGCGAACCGTCTCTTATTCATTATTAACCAACGAATACAAAGTTTAGGTAATTTGCAAATCATTAACTTATAGATAACTTAACGTAAGTATCGGTACTTATTATCACATTTTGCGTTTTGCAACAAAAATTGTTTAAAAATTATAACAAAGTATTAAATAATATGGGGATAAAGTAATATAGATGTTTGATTAAATCAATGTTTTACTATTCAAAACTAGTTAATGACTTAATATATTGTAATAATAAAAATGTAAATATATTTTTCAATCATTTTGTTGCGTTCGCACAACATTTGCAAGTATTTAATAATCGGTTTAGTTCTAGGCTGTGATGTAAGCGCTTCTGACCTATAGTTTGGGTCAAATCTTATAAGAAAGAGAGTTAATAAGGAAGTCATACATTTGTTAGACACAAACGCCACGATATATCGCATGAGGCGTTTGATTCAACAGTAAAAATGCATTAAACCATCAAAACATACAACAAAACTCTCATAAGAATCTCAATTTGATTATTACTATTAGGATGTCATACAAGAAAAGTTGATTTTATGCTAAACTATAGTTACGGTGAGACATAATTTGGTTAAATGTCATCTTTTCTGTTCGTACGGTATATATAGTGTGTTATTAAATATACAATACTATCCAATCAATTGTGGTCTGCGAATCAATTTGTTGGTTCATATCATAGAGAAAAGCATTCATTCATAACGTGAAATCGAAAGCATTATTATATAACATATCAATTATAATTAGGTTTTCCGTATGCTTTCAAATTCCTTAAGGTTTGTGACAACAGGAATAACTTTTTGTTGCAAATAATGGCATTGAAATGTATTGAAAGCATTGCAAATAAAATTAATTCAATGCAAATGTAAACTCAATAACAATTGACTTCAGTTTCAAATCATTGGCTTTTGTAAGTGAGACTCAATTCTATGAGAACTTGTTTTAAAACAAATGTCAAAAAGTTTTTTCGCGTTTGTTATAGCAATTCAAGCGTTGAAAGCATAGAAACTAATTTGATTTTCGCATAATTTAGTTAACAGTTATAAACAAATTGAATGACTGACCGACGAGATTGTCCAACAGATAAGATAGTAGTCGTTGAGTGCCATTCGGTTCGTTGTAAATGACTAACAATTCTTGTGTCAATGGATTGCCTTTCAGTCCTTTAAAGAGACGGCAAAGAAGTATTGTGTGAGCGAAGAGATGGTCAGGTATTACGACATATGAGATATAGGGATACCTAATGTCTGAATTTGAAAGAGTTTTCCTAATTCGTAAGGAAGGCATCGCAAGTAGTTGTTGTTCAGCAGGAGTTCCCTCAACATTATTAGGTCTCCGAGTTCTGCGGGAAGACTCCGGAGTTTATTACACGACAGATCCAAATGCATGAGTGATGTGAGGCGTGCGATGTCTTGAGGGATACGACTCAGACTGTTGTCATTCAAATACAATGACGTCAAGTGAGTCATTGCCCACAACTGCGGACTCAGGTTTCGGATCGACCCTTAAAGACACAACACGTGACAGCGTTAGAGAGAGGACACCATCGGTGGACACAAGGATGGACTCACCGGTGATCTCGAGTTCGGGCCAATAGGACTTCTTGCCGTTCTGGACGTCTTCGGGTGACATAATTGAATGAGTTCTCCGTGGGTTTGGCGGTTCATATTTGTCTCGTTCCCGGTCTCGATGTCCCAGACGTGACATTTAGTTATCTATTCATACCATTAGACAAAACAATCACTGCATTAGAGGCGGTGTTGAGGACTGCAAACACAACAATCAAGCAATTGATCCAAACCTGCATTTACTTCACAATCAATACAATTAGCAAAACAACTGATTTCGCAAAACAACAAAATTAAATAACAAATAAAAAACTCAATTAAAAACTCGGTTTTGACTTAAATTATGGTTAAAATAATTCACAATTTATTATTTAAAATACATTTTAGTTTTAATTTATTTAATGTTAAGTTGTTTTGTGATAAAAATTTTGAACGAATCACACAATCAGTGACACTGTCTGTGAGGGGAGGGGAGGGCTCAGGGGTTAGCACTGACTGAACGGCCAAACGCTATAAAACAGACACCGTTTGAAGGGTCGCCACAAATGGCATGCATTTCACGCATACGTTATATGTGTTCACATGTTATCTATTTTGACTCAAACGTCGCTTTTGTGTACAGAAAATACAAATCCATTCATAGATTACGTAATGTTTCGCACATTTTAAATGTGTTTTTGTTTGTTTTGTAAACACTTTTTCGTGCATTTAATTCAGTGTTTAATTAGTGATCAAAATAATGAGTTGTTTTCATTTAATCCGTTCACACAATCAATGTTTGGGTAAACCATTGCTTAGACCACTCTTTCGCTCAATTGTTTGAATCGTTTGTTTGTTTTTTTCAGTTAAAAATTCATTGCAATTATGTTTACAACAAGTTTTGGTCGCAAATGCGGTCAGAAGTGGTCTGCCGTCCATTGCCTTGAATTGCTTACAGGTTTGCCATTCAGTGTTGATAATGAGTGACTCACGAGTGATAGACATATTGATTGTGTTGTAGAGACGAGATATGGCCGCCCGAAGAGGCAAACGTATTGCCGCCGCGCGTGAGAAGCAAAAGCAGTCGCGGATCAAGAAGGAAGAGGCCAGGAATGCACCGCCGAAGGTGTGGACACCCACTAAACTCAAGATCGACAAGTCGTATGAATTGATCCAATGTTTGCTGTGTTTGCTGTCATATCAATCATTAATTGCTGGTCTCTATTGCATGTGTGTTGTGAAGTGCCCTAAACGTCGGCCCCCGAAGATTCACAGACGACCACTTGAAAGACTTGGACTCACTTATGGACGACGTCTATATCACTAAATTATATAAACAAAAGGCTTATTCATTGGTCGAGGCGTTAGACATGCATCGGGAGACACACCACAAGACAATCCTCAACG